AATCTCTCGATTAACTCAAAGACAAAATAAATGAAAGCAGTATATATAACTCAGAGCAAAGTCTGTTTGACCAATGACAATGAAGCCGTATAAAAGGTACCAGAACATCTGTATCTTTAGACTACTTTGGCTTCAGACGGATAAGTGACAAAAGTAGTTAATAACGACTGTGATGATGGAGATGTTGGCCATAGCACAAAGCTGTGGATATACGTTGGGCTTTCATTCTGAATGTCTTGCTCTCTAGCTAGAAGACGGCAGCACTTAACGAAGATGACAGAAAATTAGAAGTGACGGAAGCGAAGATTTTAGGATCCATATTAGGAGTGAAGAACGTTTCCAGGAAAAGACGAAATCGCTACTATTTGCACACCAACCAGAAAAAACTCTGAGAACAGATAAGAATAAGTTGAGGCATGTGTTTCAAAGGACTCTAATCCAATTCCACTTATCTTTTTTCAAAACTCAAATGCTGACACAGGATCAGGAACGTTGAAGATAATTTCTGACGTATCTGCCTCCGCAACGGGCAAAAATAAGTGGTCATCGAAACTGACCGACCGATGTGGAGGAAAATAATACAACCTGGTGTCAAATGCTACTGTTAGAGAGAAAGTGGAATTTCCAATGAAAGTGGCTGATTCACTGCACACAGGGCGTTGGGATGTGAGAAGGAAGAGGGGGCATTAACAACAAATTAAAGTCGTCTTACACAGCGGACACTTGGCGCAAATCCTGATGGCATGTGGTCACAAAAAGACCTCAAACAAGACGGGATGATATCGTTAGATCTGTCTGTGACAACGAAAGGGCTGAAGAGTAAGCAACCACTGGTTCAACCCAGGTGAAATACTTATACCACACCCAGTATCGTCTTTGATGCAATGTGACAAGAAAAACATATATAAAATTCATTAATAAGCAAACAGGCATTTTTACTTTTCCATAAACAGTCATATTAGCGTACACATGAACGATTAATAATCAGAGAGCAAGAAGAATCGAAGTAATTCCAGAAGTTGCGCTATCAACTGAGAACGTGGCTTAAAGTTTAACGGTGGCAATGCCAATGTTCCCATAAATCATCAAGCGCTATACTCATCTTGCATCAAAAACCATTTCTTAAAAAACGTTGGTAACACAATGATATTGGTTTTAATCGACATACCTCTTCGAGTTCTCTTTTTGTAAAGAAGTCTGTAGCCACACTCTCTGCATCGTATCGGATCTTTAGGTCTGATTTCATTCTCAAAATGGCACTCTGAAAAGGTGAAATGTGAATGACAATAATTTACCTAAGAGTGAAATAAGCACTTTGCATAAAACAAATACATATTTATTTATTGACATATATTTACATGTCATCTCCACACTCTTGCCGTTCAGATATCTGGACAATCAGAGTCATTGGCAGACAAGAAGGATGCATAAAATACAGAGCACTTAAAAACAATAACCCAAATAGACCAAGGAAGGCACAGATGCAGGCCAGATCAAAAAAAGAAAAATGTTGTGGTCTAAAAAAATATACTAAGGGTATATGAGCAGTCGAAAAAAAGAATAGGTACATTACATACAGCAATAAGTCTCTATTAGAAAGAAGGACATCACTTTTAAGCAGTAATTCTGAAAACAATTTTTTTCTGACAAGATACACAGCTTTAAATAGTTGAGTTCCACAATTCAAACCGGTGACTTTTAATATAGATAAGGCGATTCGAGGCATTCTACTACCAGTGATCAGAGACGGCGATAAAATTAGTAAGAATTTCACC